CAGCTCCCCATCAGCATGCCGGACCAGCTGTGCTTCCTTTAGCAAGGAGCAGGATGGCGGCCTGTCTGCCAGTGCTTGGGAAAGAAGAGCTATGGGCGTGGCGGGCATCCCCTGGGCTCCAGGGGTGTTTTCTTCGCTCATGCCCCTCTCCTCTCTGGCTCAGCACCCTGGAGTTCCTGCCCAGCTGAGCCCGGCTGGAGCCACTGGAATGGCAGCTGCTACCTCTGGGACTCTTCCTCTGCTGTGGCCTGGCCAGTGGCCCAGGAGGCCTGCCGGAGGTTCAGAAAGACAGACCTGCTGTACTTGACCTCGCTACAGGAGATGGTACCATTTCCGTTCTAGGCCTCCTTCCCACGCCAAGTGTACCAAGGGGCCGCTGTGACTTCTGCAGGTGGCTGGCAAGCAGGGGCCACCTCCCTCTCCTTGCGCAAACCACGGCCCCTGTCCTCCACCCTCGTGGCTCGATTCCCCCTTTCTTTCTTCCCTGTGAGCCAGTCAGGAAGGGGTAGCAGGTTCCCACCAGGGAGACCTTGGGGCTTCTGGGCGGTGGGGGCAGGGAACAGCTTCTTCTCCTGGGGGACCGGGAGACTGTGGATCCTTTTCGTTCCATCCAGGACTGGGTGCGTTCACACTTCCAAGGCACTTTCTGGACAGGCTTGAATGACCGGAAGGAGGAATCGGTCTTTCGCTGGTCAGCCCTGGAGCCCCTCAGCGAGCAGGTGGCCCAGTAAGTGGCCATAGAAGTGATCTCCTTCCTTACAGCGGAGTGTCCTGCAGCTGGAGAAGGATCCCCAGTCTCAAATTTCCCCTGTGGCTTAATGAGAGGAATCCGTAAGGTTCTGCACCCTGCCCAGCCCTTCCCCATCTGCTGGGGCCCCTGAAGCCTCCCCCAACCAGCCCACCACGGCCACTAAGAGGCCTCCTGCCCCATGTTGCCAGCTTGTGCTCCCTCTGTCAGGGGGCCTTACGGGCTGGGTGCCAACCCTGGGGGCCCTTTTGGCTCTTCTGCATGGAACAGGCACCTGCGAGACGATGTGGCTAACGGAGGGCTGAAGGACTGTGTGTGGTTTGACTCGGCAACTGGACTTCTGAGGGATGCCAGCTGTGGGGAGGAAAGGCCTTTCCTGTGCAAATGCCCTGAAGGTGAGAGAGGAGGCTGCGGAAACAGGGTGGGGCAGGAATTTTGCCAGTCCTCCCTCTCCTTGCCTTCTGCTCCCCCTCTTAGCTTTCCTCTATTCACACAACTTGGGGAGCAACAGCAGGCATTGACACAGAAAGGCTGTCCTGGGTTGGCTGCTCAGCGAAGGCTCCAAAATGGGCCCTTTCCAGGGTCCGTTTGTCTCACTGGGCTTCAGAACTTCTGCTAAGCCCGTGTTTATCGTTGCCTCGTGGTTGCCAAGACCTGTATTTAGTGAGCCACTTCAGCTGTTTCTTCTTAGTTTTGAAAAGCAGCTTTATAGCTTCTCAGTTTTGTTTTTTAACGGAAAGCAAATGATTCCTCAGTGTTCTCCTCTTGTGTCCCTCCCTTTCCTTCCCAGCCACAGAGTGGTTTGATCAGTGGGCTGGATACGGCGTGGCGGGAGAGCCGTCGCTGCTCTATCCCTCTGCAGAGACCCTGGAGGGGGCCAAGCGGGACTGCCTGCTGGAGCGCCCTGTGTGTGTGGCTGTGCTGGAGACAAGGTCTGGCTTCTACCTGCTCAGCAGCAAGGACGATGCCAGCCCCAAAGCAGACTCAGTGCTCCACGTGTGGACCAGTACGTGTCTGATGGGGCCCGCGGGGGTGGGCAGAGGAAGGGGCTCCTTCAAAGGGGAACCTCTGTGTCCAAAGGCTCCAACGAGGCATCCCATGTATGAGCCTCGCTCTGAAGTCAGGGTTGAATGTGTTGCCCAAGGCCAGTTTTTGATTCCCAGGCATTCCCACGATTCACCCTGGCACTGCATTACGTGCCCGGGGGTCCCATATGGACAGATTTGCCTTCTGATAGGGGACAACTGACCCCAGAACTTTGGCTAAGGGGGATTCTTCCCTGGTGTGCTCCCGAGTCTCTGAGAGTCAGCAGACGCCCTGGTGTTTAACCAGGTTGTAATATTTCCTGGTATTTATTTTATTTATTTATTTGATTCGTCAATCGCTTACAAGATAATAGGTATAAGTACAAACATGAGTAAGAATACAGGAAATAGGTACAAATAAATGGGAACAATAGGACAGGGACGGGAGGCACAATGGGGACTGGCCTCCTTATCCTCCCTCTGCCACTTTGCACTTCTCTTCTGGCGCTCAGCGTCAGAAATGTCCAAATGCTTGAGAGCTAGCTGAGAAGAAAAACGGCGGATCTCGTCTGATGTGGGTTCTACAGTCGCCACAGTTATCCCCGTGTTTTCCAGAAATGGGGCTGGGGTCTTGGTGCATTTGCCCGTCATGCCTGGTTCTGTTTTCTTTCAGTTTGCGCGGAAGGATTTAGCGGCTTGGCCTGCCGCAAGACCTCTGCAGGCGCAGCCCGGCCAGCCTGCGACTGCAGTGGCAGGTTGGAGACCACAGCAGAGAAAGGTGAGGGTCCAGGCAGGGCATGGAGCTCTTTAGAGACCAGCAGAGGCCCAGTGAACTCTCCAACAAAGAGAGGCAGCTGCTCTTCCTGTGTATCTGGAAGTCAGACAGTGACGCAAACATTGGTGTTTATTTCAAAAAGGACTATATGTTCCTCTCTCCTTCCCGCCTAGTCCATGCATTGAAGGCCCTGCTCTGGTGTTTCTTGCATAGTAGCGGGAAAGGGCTTCTCCTGAGGAAGCTGGGGTCCTTTTGGGAAAAGGGAATTGGGGCACAGCTTCTGCCTTTGGCTCTTAGATGCCACCAGCTCTGCCGCGTTATCTTTCCAGAGCATCTTTACGTTTTCTTCCGTCAAGTAAGAACTATTTCTGTTGACTTGACATAACTTAGGTTCCACCAAAAGTACACTCAGAAAGATGAGTAGGTTGTGTTCGTTTCACTCAATTTATCCGGAGAAAATAGAAGCTGCTTGGCTCCAAGTTTCCAGATCCCTTTATAGCCTGCTTGAACCCGACGATGGCCGGGGATGGGCCCATCCCTAAGGTGGCCGTATGCTTCCATCTTGCTGCAGTTTGTGGCGTCCCTGTGCAGACCTGTGTGGAGGATTGCAAGCAAATGACTCCTGGGACGAAGTGCTCATTTTGCATCCCTGTCTGCACTGGTACGTTAGCTTAGAAGCCTTAGGAGCATGGGGGAACGCCTCACGGTTGTGGGATCCACTCTATTCTGAGGTTCCTTCAGCTAAAACATGTCGCACTGGTGTTTCTCCTCGGTTGACTGGATCCATTGGCACCCGGTCATCTTGCCAGCTGGGCTCAATGGCCTTCACCTGGGCAAAACTGGCCACCCTCTGGAAGCAGCTGCCGTTGCTCTCCTGGAATGCCCTCCAGGGTCCCTTTTGCCCTCTGGGAAGGGCTGCAACTCCAGGTCAGAGAGTTTGCTACCACGGTAGGATCCCTCCCACCCCACGCACCCCATCTGCAATTAGCCAGGATCTTTCGCTCTTTCCCCATGCAGAGGCCAGCCTGAGCTTTCTGGAGCCTGAAGAGTTTGCTCTTGTCACCATGATCCAGTTCAAGGTGTCCCATTCCCTCAATCTCACGGCTGAGGATGAAAGGGACCAGAACGTCTCCTCCAAGGTCATATATGATGACGCCAAGCATCCGTGACAGAAAAGGAAAGCAAGAGGCCAATAAAGGCTGTGGAGGTGCCGAGGACGGTGTTTCCGTGGTCCTTCTGTTTTGTGAGACTCTTGCCCCAAAACCCAGGGGCCACTTTGGTCGAGCGCGGAGTGGTCTCTACGCTGTAAGGAGTTCAGTCGTTTCTACAAGTGGTTTTGAAGTTTGGAGCCCAGGCCCTTGGTGGCGTGTGGGCTGGGGGTTTTCTGCGCTCTGCCCCAGATTCCACACCCCAATCTACCCCCCCCCCCGGGATCCCTTGGGAATTTTGTATTTTCCTTCGTTTTCACTAATAAGTCAAAAAAAACCTTAGCAAAATGAATGCATGGCCATTCGCAGCCTTCTCTGAAAGGGGGAACAGAGGAGGAATAAGATGGGCCAGCATTGGGGTCCACTCACCTGCCCACCTATGAGAGGGAAGGCAGGTGGCCAGGCGCTCCTGTGCTTCTCTCTGGGAAGACGGTCAGAGGGCACCTTGCCAGAGTGCCCTTATCTTTAAGGCTGGCAAAGGCAATTTGGGAGAAACTTCCCGGAGATGGCTGCTTGCTGGCGTTTCCTTCTAGGAAAAATAGCAATAGCCCTTAGACTTCTATACCGCTTCACGGTGCTTTACAGCCCTCTCTGAGCAGTTTACAGAGTCAGCCTCTTGCCCCCAACAATCTGGGTCCTCATTTTACCCACCTCGGAAGGAGGGAAGGCTGAGTCAACTTTGAGCCCATCAGGATCGAACTCCTGGCAGTTGGCAGAGTCAGCCTGCAGTTCTGCATTCTCACCACTGTGCCATCACGGCAGATAGATAGATAGATAGATAGATAGATAGATAGATAGATAGATAGATAGATAGATAGATAGATAGATAGATAGATAGCAAACCCACTTAGACTTATATACCACTTCACAGAGCTTTCCAGCCCTCTCTAAATGGTTTACAGCAGAGGTCTCCAACCTTGACAACTTTAAGATTTGTGGATTTCAACTCCCAGCTATGCTGGCTGGAGAATTCTGGGAGTTGAAGTGCAAAAGTTTTAAAGTTGCCAAGGTTGGAGACCTCTGGTTTACAGAGTCAGCCTCTTACCCCAAAAATCTGGGTCCTCATTTTACCCACCTTGGAAGGATGGAAGTCTGAGTCAACCTTGAGCCTGGTGGGATTTGAACTGCCAAATTGTAGGCAGCTGGCTGTAGCAGTAGCAGCTTGCAGTACTGCACTCTAACCATTGCACCACAGAGGCTCCTTGCTGGAGTGAACCCAGCATTCTCGCCTTCCACCAGCTTTTTAAACAATGGTTTCCTTGTTAGATGACACCAGTAATCTCCAGTTGCGTCACCCTGGCTCTACAGAGAGATTTCCCCTCAGACCAAACCCAGCGGCTCTTGCTAGTCACGTCTCAGAATGGCCGACCCTGTCAGCTTGTGGTACTTTTGGGTGAGAAGCTTTTCTTGAGCTCATCAATGCCCGTTCCACCTGGGGTCGCCTTGCAGATTTTGCATCTCAGACATGCTCCTTGGCAGGAGACGGGGAAGCGCAAACCCGCTGGTAAGTAACTTTCCTGGCACAGGCCAAGACCCGTCTGTGTACAGAACGTAGCCAGACCAGGAGGGGCAGACATCAGGTGGTTCCTTAGGCCAGGACAGCCAGGCCCAGGAGGAAGTGGCTGCTTTGTTCCTTGGCACGGCTTCCTGTCAAAATATTTGCTAAGGAAGGGCAGAAGCTTGACTCAGAATCAACTACACACTCAAGAGGTTCTGCTAAAAGTTGCTCCAAACACAGGAAAGTGTGCAAAACCTTTGGGAGCAAAAGGTGTTCAGTGAGGAAGCTCGGCGGCAGACCTTCACGGATTCCTGACCCTCCCATTGCTCGAAGCGGTGGAGCTGAGGAACAGATGTGGAGCCTCTCCAGGGCTGGGCCCAAGAGACCCATGGCTTCAAGCACCAGGGCCTGGGCTTTGCACTTGGCAGCCACCGATCATCGCCGCTGCCCTGGTGGCCGAAGGCAAAGAGCCCTCACAGCCCTCACCATCTTCCTCTTCTTGCCACACGTTCCTACTTCTGGCTGTCCAGATGTTTGCAGCTGCTCCCTGGGGAAAGTAAACTGTGTGGACCGGGGGCTGCGTTTGGTACCTCTCCAGTTGCCTACGAACGCCACCGCCCTCCTGCTGGAACACAACCTCATCACCACCCTCCAGAACGGCAGCTTTGTGGCCCAGAAAGTCTTGCGCCACTTGAGCCTTCGCAACAATGTCCTGACCAGCATTCACCGCCTGGCCCTGGTGGGCCTCCATGAGCTGCAGGACCTGGACCTGAGCAACAACTCCCTCAGCCTCCTGCACCCAGACACTTTCCTCCCGGTGCCAACCCTGAGGACACTGATGCTGGGGCACAACAGGCTCCTGAGTCTGGGGCCAGAACTCCCCCGGGCCCTCCCCCATCTCAGGGCCCTCTTTGTCCACCGCAATGCATTGAGCGACCTCCCGGCTGGCTTCTTCGAAAGCCTTCCTTCCTTGTCTTCCCTGACCCTTGAAGGCAATCCCTGGATTTGCTCCTGTGGCCTCTGGTCCCTCTTTCTGTGGCTGACGAAGAACAGGGACAAAGTTCCAGGTAAGCAGCCAGCTAGCACTCGGTGTCTGAGCCCCTCTAGGCCAGGGGTCACCAACCTTTTGGACCTCGGACCACCAAACTCACAATTTTAAATCCCTCAGACCAGAAATCCTGGGAAAATCCCCCCAAAAGTCTGCAGGAAAATTCCCCACCCCGTTTTCCTGCCGATCGATCGTTCTTTATTTGGAATCACAGGATACCGTCTCCAGCTCCTTTCTCGGGGGGGGGGGGAGAGAGAGAGAGACTTTTGGCTTCATGCAAGGAAAGCAGCAGAAGCAGCAGAAGTCTTTCTTTCTCTCCCCCAAACTCCACCAGAAATGAGTCTTTGCCGGCACAGCCTCTTGGAGCAGGAGGCCTTGCAGAGTCCCAAAGACTCATTTCTGGTGGAGTTTGGGGGAGAGACAGAAAGATTTTTGCTGCTTTCCCTGCGTGCAGCCAAAAGCAGAAGATAGAAGTGAAAAGAAGCAGCTAGACAAGGTGTGCGGGGTGAGTGGGGCAAGTTCCCTCCCTGCTCTTTCCCCCATCCCCTCATTAGCTTGTGTTGTTCACAATGCAAGCAAGGCAAGCCTTGTGTTCCCGCAGGCCATGTGGGCAGTGCAGCCTTGTGTTCCCGCGCAGCCTGGATTAATTGCTTTGGGGAGGACATCTCTCTGTGGCTCACCAAAATTTTCTCGCGGACCACCAGTGGTCCCTGGCCCACTGGTTGGCAATCACTGCTCTAGACCTCGGTGGGCCCACATTGCTCAGCTGAGCACACCAGAAACAGTGGGCAGGGCAGGGCCGTGTCCTGTTCCCCCTTGGCCAAAAGTGCAACGTTTTCATGCCAGTGCACTTCAGCTGTTACCCCCGAGGCTGCTGGGCTCGGCTCTGCAGCCAGCCCTTCATGGTGAAAGAAGCGTCCCCATTTGCTTGAGTGGTTTCCCCCCACCCCGCTCCCCCTTCCTGGCTTCTTACAGTATCTGCCCTTGTTTGGTGGGCAGCATTAAGCAGCCCTCCCCGCATCCCCCTTTCACTTGCCACATGCCCCCCAGATCTTGAGGAAGGTAGTCGGCCCTGGGAAGCTGTTGGTGGGTTTGTTTTTAATCACAAACAGGACAAGTCTGGTTGCTTTGGGTTTCCTCCCACAACAGCTAGGATTAACACAGCATACTCCACATTTCTGCGAACAATAGGAAAATCAAGAGAAGTTGGGAAGTAGACGAATATTCAATTCCTTCCAGTTCTCCGCATACTGACGTACCACTGCAGGGTCTCTCGGCTCAGCAGGACCTCATACTAAACATGGAAGAGCATTTGCAAAAGAAACAGCTGTTAAAATGGAACCCATGTTAATGCTGAAAAAAGCAGAGGCGATATCTGTCAGTGTGCCTTTTCAAATAATCGCCATAATTTCAACCAGGTTCAGGTTGGTTTGCGCCCATGGTGGAGGAATCCTCTGGGCATTTTCTCCTAGCGTTAGCTCCGCAACCAAGATGGCCTTGCCACTACTGGCTCTCTGCTGCTCTTTCTTCCAGAGGCGAATTCGTTGACTTGCAAACGCCGAGCATCCCTCACCCAGTATCCCATCTCGGCCCTTGGAAACGCATCTTTTGCACGTTGCCAGCCGCCCCGGATGCATCTCCCCGGCTACGCCTTCTTCCTCCTGATCGGGCCATCGACTTTCCTGGCCAGCATTTGTGTCGGCATCCTACTGGGCTCCGTGGCAGTGGCGCGCCTGAAACTGAGGAGGATGGGCTCATGCTTTCGGCCACTGGCTTCGGTGAGGCGCGCAGGGAGCCCCCCGCAGTAAGCGGGTTTCGCTCCCAAACAACGGTCCTTTGGCACTCTTCCCTTCTCTGCCAGCAGAACTGCAGCATCAGGAGCCCCTGTGGCGCAGTGGTGAGAGTGCAGTACTGCAGGCTACTTCTGCTGACTGCCAGCTGCCTACAATTTGGCAGTTCAAATACCACCAGGCTCAAAGTTGACTCAGCCATCCATCCTTCCAAAGTGGGTAAAACGAGGACCTAAATTGTTGGGGGCAAGAGGCTGACTTTGTAAACTGCTTAGAGAGAGCTGGAAAGCACTATAAAGCGGTATATAAGTCCAAGGGCTATTGCTATTTATATAACAGTTTTTGAAATCATTTCTGTTTCAAATACTTTGTGCCTAAAATCCCAATTCCTCCCTGGGTCCTTGATTTGGGCTTGCACATCCCTATCCCTATCCAAAGAGCCCTACTTGGCAACCCTGGTGTAAGAGCGGTCCGTATTCAGTGGTATGAGGGAGGAAATGCCTCTTCCCCCACTGAGGTGGGCCCAGGGGTCAGACAGAGCCTGGAGCATCCTTTCCATGTCATTTGGCTGCAGGTGGCATTTGTGTTTCCTGAAAAGCACGGCGCCCTCCTCCCGTTTCTTGGAGCAACAATAGCTCCTTCTGTGCTGCGCTTGGTGGACTTCACAGGTTTTCCACAGAAAAGGCGACGAGATAAAATGGGGGCTGCCAATGCCCAAAGTGCCATGGCCTCTCAGTGCCCTGGAAGCCTCTCCGCTGGGCTCTGGGCCCCTTACTCTTTATACAGCGCTTGTCAGCTTCCCAGATGGGCACAGCCAGAGGTCCCTGATTTAGTGAGTGGCAGCCAGGAAGCAGCTGAGACGCAGCCTCTGCAGAGGACAGAGCCTGCATTTGACTTACAGGAAGCGGGGAGAGTAGGGTTGGGCTCCTTGTCCTCAACCAGGGAACATCTGAATACCAAGGTGGGTGCCCCCACCACCACCATACCCATGATGCGCAGGCCCGGGGGGCTTCCCCTTGTTCTCCTTGGAAAAGGAAAATCAAGACGTGAGCCAGTCCTAGTCTGGGCTGGGGGGTGTGGGGAGGGATACACAGTTTTCAGGTCTAAGCTGGAGCAGAAAGGCTGACCATGCCGTGCAGTGGTGGGATTCAATTTTTTTTTACTACCGGTTCTGTAGGTGTGGCTTGGTGGGCGTGGCCGGGCGAGGCTACTGCAAAATCACCCTTCCCTCCCCATCCCGCTAACCTGCTTTGCAGCTCCGTTCTCCTGGGCAGGGCAACCAAAGAAAACCCAGCCAATCAGCTGGGACTCAGGAGGCGGAGAATAGATGGGATTGGCGGGGCCAGTCGGAGGCGGGATTTGCCAGTTCTCCAAACTACTCCAAATTTCCACTGCCGGTTCTCCAGAACCTGCTGAATACCCACCTCTGGTGCCCAGTGAAGCCTAGCTTGTCAAGGGAACCAGAGGGGTATCAGTGCATCCCTTCCTTGCTGGAGCTTGGCCCAACAGGCACTGTCCTGGAGGGACAGCACAGCCGGGCATTGGCTTGCCAACCTCAGAGCGGCTCAGGAAGCAGCTCACCTCCCAGCTCGGCAGTCGGAGAACGTCTCCCTGACTTCTAAAACCGGGCTGTGCCTGGGGAATTGGGAGCACATCGACCAGCCAGTCTTCCCCAGCACCTGTAAGGAGCAGAGAAAGACTTTGCGGCCAGTCTTTGTGGAAATTTTATTTTAAATTCAGACTGAGGAAGGAAAATATAGACTGCTGCCTCTTGTTTTTCCTCTTTCCTGTGAATTTAAACAAAGAAGTGTCCTTGCAGATACACACGTGCGCGCACACACACACACAGGGACGAATATGTCGTTTTAAATTAATGGATTTAAATTCACTGTTACAAAAACCCATAGCAGAACTATACATAAGTATGATAACTCTTAATTATTGAACACGGCTTGTTCAGTCCGGCTCTGGGCACCTGTCCAAGGTCATTTGCTTTATTTCAAAAAGATTGGTCAGAATTACAGTTCCATCTCTACTTACCTAGGAGAAGGTCCCAGTGAATGCAATGGGCCCCACTACTGAGTAAGCACATACAGAACCCATGTAGGTGCACACAGTCCAGCTTGGTAAATTAGGATCCAGGTTGAAGGGTACATAAGGAGGTGTGTGTGTGGTGGGATCCGGTAGAAGGAGCAGGCGGTGGTTGTGTGTTGAGGTGCCTCCTCCATGTTGGGAGTTCTTGAGAGGCAACCCAAGTTGGCGCTACTCTGCTAACCCCTGGGCGATTGCAACGTGAACTGTGCGGAATCAGGTTGGCTGGCTCTCAGAAGCGCTGGCAGCACCGGAGTGACACTCTAGCCTCGCTCCCTCGGAGCTTCCCAGGCCTGCATGGCGCGGCCGGCTGGCCCCTGCGACCTCCCCTGGGTTCTGACCACACGGCACAGAGAGGGAGAGACGAAGGGCGCTCCTGCTTCTCGACAGAGGAGATCATCTTTGGATCTGGATTGGGATTCTGCACCCACAATGGCAAAAACAAATTTGGGGTTCCAGTTTAACACCCGTAGGGTATTTTTATAGGATTAGCTAAGTCAAACTCGTAACCATCCTAGAAGACAAGCCAGCATTAGGTGGCAAAGAGCAGCTGGAGTAGGGAAAAGGCTGGTACTTTGGTCCTCCTGAGTGTGGAAATGAAAAATATTGTGAGGATCGAGGGTCAAGAGAACCAACACAATAACTCTCAGCTGGAGAGCTGGAAGGCCTGGCTTCCTTTCCAGAAGGCAGTGGCACATACTGGACCATGGGATAATTGGTTGTGGGGAAGGGGTGGTTCTGAGGAGCACTGTGTTGGGGCCAGGGGAGGAAAGAATTGGGACCTTCTCTGTCAAAGGCTAGAAGATCTTGGCAGGGGCCTGTTTGCCAGAGGAGGTTTGTTAGGAATCTCAATGCACATAGCCGTAACCATGGGAGAAAAGAGGAACGATTCCAAGGCTGCCATCCCTGATCCCAGCCCAGGAAAGGAGCAAAGGGGTCAGCGCCGGCGTCCATCTGTCCGTGGCAGAGAAAGCACTTCTGTCTTCTGCAAAGGAGGAGCGAGCTGGAGATTTGGATCGGAAGCCAGCAAAGCGTCACCAAGAAGCTGAGAACTTCCTGTCCTACCAGAAATGTTGCTTTACCAGGTGGGAGGCATGGGAGGAGTTGGCTAAAACTCTGTTTCACAAAGGAACTAAGA